AGAAAAGGCAGATGTGTGTAGAGTTATATAAACTATGTGCACCTGTTACCACTTGTGTATATCTGACTTGCTGTGGTGTTTGGGGGGTCAGATAGCTTGTTTATAGCATGGAGATGAAAGAGGAGAAAGCCTGGTGTTGTACACAGTCAGTCAGAGTGGAGAACAGGCGTGGCCCCGAGCTGCAGTCCTCCGCAGTGTCTCGTTCTCCCCCCCCCCCTCCTCCTCGTACGGCACCTGCATAATGACTTGTGTTAATTAGGCCGGGAAGACAAAGCAAATACTGTCCTCCATCGATTCCTGTAATCAATCTGGACCCTTCTACCTTATCAGCTGGAGAGGCAGCCAGGGTTGTGTTCTATTGTTACGTTCCCTCTTTGCTAGTGGTAAGAAAGGGAAACGACACGACCAGTTTGTAATTGGTATTGGTTACCGGTGGGTTTATTTATGACGGCAACTGAACAAAACAAGGATAAACACACGAACAGCCTGGACCAAACTGTTACGGGTTAACAACACAGGACTCCAAAAGAGAGTTGCACAGTAGGCTACAAAAGAATGAACGTACTTCACTTCTAAAGTGGAACAAAACACTAAACAAAAGGAGACTGTGTGGAAACAAAGCTGTTGCTGATCAACCGGTGCTAATCACCGGGGTCTAAGCAATATACACAAATGCTGATCTACAGGCGCTAAGCTAACCTGGGTCTAAGCTGTTTCACAATGTCACTAATCTAAATGCGGGTCTACAGGAGCTAAGCAACCTGGATCTACGCAACACACACACACAAACCCTACTCTAAACACAGAATACCACGACACACTGCTAACCAGTGAGATCGCACAGAACCCTACAGAATATACTGCTAAGCAGTCTAACGAGGCACAGAAAATACACTGCTACGCAGTCTAACAGAATCACAGGAGGAAGGCTTTGTCACAAGTAGAGGGTTGAGGCATCTGTCACAAAATACAGGGCCTCCAGACGGATGTTCGTGCCCAGCCTTTATCCTCCTCCCCCGGATGACGTGGCAGCAGCGGGCAGGGCTTGAGTGACGTCTGTCCAATCCCCGCGAATGTTGCGAGGTCGGGACGGCCACTCACAGCATCGGAAGGCACAGCTCATTTGCATACACACAACGTTAAAGGCACAAGGTAGCAGCGGCTGTAACATCTATTCAGAGACACAAATACACATTCACACACACAGACACACACACACACACACACACACGCACACACACACACACGTTTGTGCAAATGAGCATTCCGTTTCTTTCTTTTGTTGTCTGACCACCACCTTCCCGCCTCACTCCTCATCATCACTGCACGTGGTATAGCAACAGTCGGCTGCTTGGTTGAAAACTGATATACGTTTTCTAAATATTCTGCAGTACACGTGCAGACATACAGTCTATTGTGTTTTTGTTATTGTTGAAGGAAGTGAATATGTGTCAGATCAGGTTGTGTTCAAGGAGTTGTCTCTCGTAGGTGAGCTACATAAGCGTGCAGTCATTGTTTTTCAGCATTGATAGCAAATATTTGAGGTTCCCACAAATATTTTCTCCTCCTCTTTTGTCACATCAATATTACATTTTTAGCATTACCTTAATTCCTAGTTCCCAGACATATTGGTAATTCGCTGCTGAAATAAATCCCTTCAGGATTAGGCATCTGACCAGGGACAGGTGGATTGGTTAACCATTTTGAATAACTGGCATGTTTTCCGGTTGATGTGTTGCTCGAGCTGAGGTAAAGGGAGTGGTTTCACACACACACACACACACACACACACACACACACACACACACACACACACGTTAAATGTCAGGCACACTGGTGTGACCGATGAAAATGTTTGGTCACTTGACAAATGGCTGCACTCTGGAGCCCTGCTCGCTCCTCTGCAGACCAAGGGACGACTCTCCCTTCTTATAATAAGCTTGACCTAAACACACCACAATAAGTTTTGATATGTCAAATAAAATAAATGATCTTACTACATGAACTCCAATTGTGTGAGACTAGTATAGAGATTTACAAATACATTCTGCAATCCTCCTGAAATTAAAAAAAAATACAAAAAGATAAAGCAGAAATATTCAAACCAAGGGTACATCAAAAAAGAGAACTAGTATGCAAGAACACTCACTCACTTTCTCACTCACTCAGCAGCATGTGCACAAGCAGTAAATGCAGGTTCTCATCTCATTCAAAAAACACCTTCTAATAAACTGTGATAGAATATAAAACATGTTTATTTTCTTCAATTTCATATCACTGTGATGTGTGAGGTAGCACTACCCTCCTCTCTTTCTTCTTCTTTGTGTGTTTGTACGATAACCCCAGCAGCAGAGACATGAGGAGCAGACAGGCTGCTGTTTAATAGATTACACAGGAACATGGCGACCCATTGATCGTATCTCCTCCACACACACACACACACACACACACACACACACACACACACACACACACACACAAAATGCCAAGTACCCAGGAGCGTGTGAGTGCTTGTTATTCTGTTCTCGGCAGAACAATTGGAACGCATCCTATTTTAATGGAGATCTTTGTGTCTAATCTCACTATAGGTCACACTAAAGAGACAATATGTAAACTCATAGTTTACTTCAAAGGCTTCAGGGCTCTAGCAAACATTGGTTTGTCAGTGCCTTGTTTCCAGAATCTCTTCAATGGTGTGCGATTGGAAATTGTGCATGACCCATAGTGTCCACGGTCAAAATGATATGAATAAGAGACCTCAGGTGGAACATAAATAGGAATACATTAGAGTTGATATCTGAAAAGAAAAAAGTGTGAGATGAATATAATTGATAGCCTCCTGGTTATGTCCTCAGGAATGTGCCATTCATGGGTGTGAGCTCAGTAATAAGATCACCACTCGCTCTTCAGTCACTTAACATGCAGCAGACTACCGAGTTCTTCATTTCTTTCCTCTATTTACTCCTAATTACATTCCCCCTCAGTACTTCCATCTGTCTCTGCTCAAACTCCTCGGCTGTGGCTCGTGTTCGCCGACACTTTGCTCACTGTCAGCAGAGCAGACTGTGCTGTAGCTCGTTGAGTTGGTGCCAAGTCTTCCTAAGGTAGCTTTTATAAGCAATAACATGTACACATTTTTAAACTATTGTTCATCTTCTGCCACACAGACCTGTGGTGACTTCATTTGGGTTGTCTGTTCAGCTGTTTTGAAAGTTACTTGGTTTTAAAATCAGTCACTTGTGTGGCTGAGACTGAGTATACAGAAAAGGGACAAACCATACACAGTAAATGTTAAACTGATTGTTTCTTGAAATAATTGCTATTATACGACACATTTTCAGTGAAACTCAAAACACCAATTTAGAATTCAGAAAATTACTAAAACATTTATTAAATAATTACATAAACTAGTAGAAAACACACATTCTGTCTTGCCTTCTACTGGTTTATGTAATTATTTAATAAATGTTTTAGTAATGTTCTAGCACACCTCCTTCATACAGTGCAGATAATTAATGTACTTAATAGTAAAAGGTACATTTAAAAAGATGGTATTTGTGCGATATTTTATATAATATGAGAAATCAAGCTTTTAATCAAATCTGGCCTTATTTTGTTGTCATCTTTATGATGGGTAATTGCTCCCCTTGACTTCTTCAAATGGGTCAAGTAAAGTAGATGGAGTCAGTCTTCATACTGCGTCCTCCCTGTAGCTGAGCCCTGTGCACTACACACCAGTGAGAAGAACAAAACTGTTCAGACAGACCCCATCAAGTATGAAGCCAATAGATAGGGCTTTTAAGTACAACAAGTCTCCACTAACGAAAGAGCATGAGCCATGGGTAAAAGTCCCAGGAAAAGCTGGCCAATGCTTGAGTTAATACTTTCAGTGAAATTAGTTACTACACTTTGTGCTTCATATTTTAAACAACTAATAACAAATTCATTTTGACTAAAGATGCTTAATGTTGTGTTGAGAAGGTGCAAGGAAAAAGCAGACTCTAATTCACCTTAACAAGTCTAAGTTTGGTCATCCTTGGCAACCTTTTAAAACCATAACTACATGTTTTGCTGCAATGTGAAGTCATTTAGCAAGAGGCTACAGAGAACTACCAGGTAGATTGACCTGTCACAGAGTTTGGTGTGTACCCAGGGATCATTGCGACGGAGAATAAAATGATAATTTCCCAGATTGTCCAATCCTGCTTTGTACTGCAGTAAAAAAAAATCCTGTTCAGTGTTTATCTGTCTGATGAGCCTCCATTCTCATGGATCTATTACTCAAACTGGCTTTCAAACATATTTAATCAGCTATTTGGTGCCTGAAGCAACATGGCCAATTTTGAATGCAGTGCTATTTCTGTCTGTAGGCCTGTTAACAGTCATAATGACACAGCGAAATTAAGCTCATGGGAAACGGTTTCCCGCTGCGACTCAGGAGCTGATCTCATGCCAGTTGCACCTGTTTTCTACCCCGAGTCTCTCCGGGCGTGTAATATTTGATCAATACTGTTTTGGCTCCATCTGCTCATCAAGCTGTGGGTTCATGTCGTCTTACAGCTCCTATTTTTATTTCAAAGTGTTGATTACAAATTGATGGTGACAATATGGTTGGTGTTGTCACTCTAGAGGCTCATGCTGGCCGGCTCGGTGAGATGTGTCTCTGTTTGACTTAATAAATGTATCTGCTCTCAGGGGGCGTTACAGATTTGCTGACTGTGCGGTCTTCAAGGCTGCGAGCGGGGACAGGACAAGGCTGTGACAAATCATATCAGAGATGTTGTCACGGTCTAAGTGTGAATATGATTTATGTGTAGCTGGATCATTTCCAAGTCCCCCTCAGAGGGGTTTATCACAGGGTCAGAGCTGTGAAGAGTTACAAGGAAATAATGATCCAATTTCACTGACCGACGCCCAGCAGCAGCTTCTGTTGGTTTATGATTTCTCAAAGGTGTTGATTTAGCCATCTTTCTCTAAACTTGTTGTCCTTTCTTTTACAGCTGAAACTTGAAGATCGATCCATCGTCATCAGAGATATCGTGCGGCGAAACAACTCAAATGTAAGTCGAGGTTCTTCCAAAGTTCTCACTTTTCGCCTCACCTTTCTTTCCGTCTTGTTATTTCTCTCTTCCTTTCAATCAAGCCTCTCTCTTTGTCAGTCATGTCACTGCTCACCGCTCTGTTCCATTTGCTGCATCAGACATGACTGGAATATTGTTGCAGCTCCACCCTTACGAAGAGGCTTTCTGTGTTAACGTGGTGCAACAACTCCTGTTCTGAATACAAATGCAACATCTTTTCTTTTGGTTGAAATTCAGGAGTTGTCTTGTTCTCATACCAGTGTTGCGTATGGAGCTCAGTAAAAAGAAATAGGCAATCTATTTCTATGGCTTGAAGCTTATAAGCAATAATCAAGTGTTGCTGTTGATGAACAGGATACTGTAACAGAGATGATCATTCATATTATGACGATGTACTGAACTTATGAATGTTGCGTTACAGGATAACCAGTGTGGTATTGTGACCAACATTGACATCGAGTGTGCGGTGAAACTGGTGGGAACAAACTGTGTTCTGTATCCAGTGAACAGCAGAGACCTGCAGCACATCTGGGTAAGACTGCAGGGTCTTAATACTCACACACAGGAACTACAAATACATGCAAGATGATGCCTCATTGTACAGGTCCATTACTTCCTGAAAATAAATGTATATAAATTGCACACCTTCATACATAGAGGTGATGACGAGTCAAAGTAACAAGAATCAGCTTCAACACGCTGTCAGCACAGCGACAGTAACAAATGCCTGATGACGACAATGTAGTTCTTTCCAGTACATTACTTCTTTTAAAAATGAAATAAAGCTTTAACATATACATGTTTTAGACATTAAAACTAATGCTTTTAATTGACGCATAGCAGTAAGTGATTAGTATGTACACATACAGTGTAACTGATAATACTTTTATGAAATATGAAATATAATGTGTTCTTGTCCCCGATTGTGTTTTTCTAGTCTTTTATGTATGGAGATTACATCGCCTATGACTTCTGGCTGGGGAAAGTGTACGACCTGACTAATCACATCATCCTCAAGCTCTCCAACGGAGCAAGGTAGACAGAGAGAGTGTGTGTTTCTGTGTGTGTCTGCGTGTGTCTGTGTGTCTCTGCGTGTGTCTGTGTGTCTCTGCATGTCTCTGCGTGTCTCTGCGTGTGAGTGTCTGTGTCTTTGATGAAACAGCGTGTTCTGTGTCCATGTTGGAGTGTGTTGGCATGTCTGCTTGCTGGCACACATCCCTCAGTGCCAGATCCAGTGAACGTCAGCCTGTCTCCTCTCTCCCTCCAGGTGCTCCATGAGTGTGGAGGACGGAGCGAAGCTTTACGACGTCTGTCCACATGTCAGTGACTCGGTGAGTAGCCATGAGCTCCTGTCTGTCACCTCGGGTACATCCGCCATTTACAGAGCCACTGTTAGTCAGGGATCAGATCACTCTCAAAAGAGCCGGTTCATGGTCTGTAAATTATTCTTATTATATTATTTTATGGGTGTTTTTTGTGATATAAGATATTTGCATGCGTGTAGAACAAGAACAAGAGAAAGTACTGTAAGCGTTGCCACTTCCTACTTTAAGGTTATTGTTATGTTTTTAACACTCAGTAATGTACAGTTCTAAAAACAATAATTCATATAATATACATCAATATTGATAAGAATAGTGGATGCACAGAAAGATAAGCAATGAGAAAAACAATACATATAAACATAGCATACTAGAAGCACTTTGAATATAATTATACAGGAAGGAAACGTACAGGTATTGAATACACCCCCCCAATTTAAAATATAACCTTCCCATCTGTTAGTCTTTTTATATTAAAGTAGAAAAGATGAAACTATCTTTCCAAATAAGAGTAAGCGTCTGTCTTTCCCCTCCCCTCAGTTATGCTTTTTTACCAACCGTTATGGGAGTTGAATTCTTCATTTTCAGAATTTTCACAAAAAAGTGTGTTGCAGTACATTTCACGATTTGGATATGATTTTAAATCAATTTGTTCTAGTTGTTGAATATAATACATCATTTTGCAATCTAAACGCTGTTAAATCATTATTGTTATGTTCTCAGTTCTTTATATTTAATGTATCCTTGTTTGTGTGTTTTCTTCAGGGTCTTTTCTTCGACGAGGCGTATGGTTTCTACCCGGGTCAGGTGCTGATTGGCCCCGCCAAAGTCTTCTCTAACGTTCAGTGGCTGTCAGGGGTCAAACCCGTCCTCAGCAGGAAGTGCAAGTTCAGGGTGGTGGTGGAAGAGGTGAGAGGAAGATGACTTTTTTTTCCAAGGCCAATAGTGTTAAGGTCATATACTTGAATAATTGTTCATATGTTGTTGTGTTTCTCTAAATCTTCTCCGTGCTGCTCTCCGCAGGTGAAAGTGGTCGAGCTGAAGGTGACGTGGATCACGAAGAGCTTCTCCCCCAAAGGTTCAGACAGCGTGTATCCCCCCCCCCTCCAACATCCCACAGGAGAGTCTCTGCCGGTCAGTCTGAACATTCATCTGTTTGTTCTTACACTAATGTAATCTGCAGAACAGATACAAACTGAAACTGTGGTGTTACTGTGTTGTTTGGTGAAGGGTGCGTCGTCTAGGATACTACGACCACACCCAGAGGCAGCTGGGAGAACGGGCCCTGTATGTGTTCCCCGCCAAGGGGGACGCCACCCGCATCACCTGTGAAGGACCCGAGGGTGCCCCTGTCCTGCCTGAAGACCCCATGGCCAGAAAGGTGACAATAAAATGTGATGCATGTGTTCATGTATCTCCTGTTGTGCAAGAAGTGTTAAGGTACTTGGTAGGTATAAATACTCAGGTAAAAGTACGACATTCAGAATGGTGCTTAAGTACATGAACAAAGGTATTGGCATTAAAATATACTCAAAGTTACAAAACTACTCATTATAGAGAAAGGGCTAGTTTCAAATCACATTTTTAAATTATAATTATTATTGGAAAAAACATACATTAGTTTGATGTTGATGGTAAAGGTGCGGCTTATTTGTAACTCAGACACTGCCAAGGAGCTTTCAAATTCAACCAAGGAATAAAAAAAGTTTTACATTGTTTCCAATTTGCTAAATCATAATGGTTTCCGGGTATAATAATGTATTCTAAGTCCGAAGGTGCAAAGGTCCAAATTCCAGAGAAGTATTAAGTAGCATAAAATGAAAATACAAGTATCTAAAACTTATCCTTAAGTACATGTACTCAGTTATACATGTCATAGTATAGATACATGTATATTACCAAGCTAGTACCACTGCATGTTTTTAAAGTTCGGTTGGATGCTACAAAATCAGATGCTGTTGGTACCTGTACATGTGGTTAAATATGTAAATTGTAATCCCTGTACATTTTGCTGTATGATGTCCTTTTGTTGTTCTGTTGTTTATGTTTTTATGTCTTCTTGTGGAACCTACTGCTGCAGGTCTCCCTTGAAAAAGAGATCATTGATCTCAATGGGATTTTACCTGGATAAATAAAGGTTTTGAATTGAATTGAATATGTCATGTAGTATAGATTGTTCTATTACAGTATCTGAAGTGCTTGTTACTTGCTGTCAGAGTGTAGGTTGACACCGCCTGTTATCCCCTCGGGAGCTTATTAACAAATAAACCAGCTGTTTTACACAAGAAGTGAATGAGCAGAGGGGGATCTCGGTGCTGGTGTATTTTAAGAAAGTTGTCTTTGAATGTTTGATCCTCTGTGGTATTTGGTGCAGAGAACTTCAGTATTTTTTTTACAGTATAAGTGCAAGTTTATTTTTTATAATCTTCAAACTCTCCCTCTGTGTGTTTGTGTGTCGTGTGATGGTGTGCCGCCTGCAGTTGAAAAGGATGTTCAAGAAAGATTCAGGGAAGAAGACGGAGAACGCTGACGCACAAGGTGCCAAACATTACTCTGCAGAGAAAACACAGAATCACACACACTTCTGCTCTCTAATGTCGTCAGGGTGGTCTCTATTAGTAGCTCAGCGCGACTCAAATGTTGAAGAATTTCCCTCAGCCAAGAACACTCAGTGATGTGATGTGCTAATGAGAATTCAACTGCAACACTACAACACAAATAACCTTTTGAATTAATCTGCTAATTAAGCTGGGAACATTCATTTTAGTTTTACTTCTCACAAAGTTAAATGGTTGTTCTTTTCACACATTGACCGATGTGTTAGGCGTTGTTAGTCTTCACATTGGTTTTAGGATGGTTTAAAAAATATATTTTCTCTATCATTTCACAATGACACATTCTTCCTTTATGCTAACATCTTCCCAAAAGTAAGTGATAAGTGACTCCATGTAAAGCAAAGCAGTCATTTAAAGTTTGAGACATAACACAATCCTTCCACAAATGGATCTGTGGTGAAAATGAGATTTTTTCATCAGCCTCTGACAAATCAAAGGAAATAAGTGAAAAACCTAATTCTATTTTTGATATGGCTTTACAGAGAGAGAGAGAGACATTGTCCACTATGCTTCAGGTCAGAAACATACTGCACCCTGCCTCTCTCTGTGTAAAACCATATTTAAAAAATATATAATATCGTTTTTCAAGTTTATACCAGTGTTCATGTATATTCCTGTTATACCTCTCACCAGGGGAGCACAAATCGGAGCAGGACGACCCGTCTAATCCCAACAACAACAATGGCCACGTGGTCCCGGGTCAGAACCCTGCGGACTCCCAGAACCCCAACGACAGCTCGGCTGAACACGGCGAGCAGGACGCTGACGACGAGGCTGCAGAGGACACTGACGATACCTGGTCTGTTCATATATACATTTTATATTATACATGTATTGGGTGTTAGATTATTACAATTATTTCCCAGTAATTATGTCTACAGTTCCGTTTTTTGACTAATGTCAAATCAGCCTATTTTCCTCTGTGTACAGAACAGTATAGCTTAAACAACGGGGCTTATAGTTGATTAAAAGAAAATAATTTGCATCACAATTTTGATTATTGCTTAATATTTGAAGTCATTTTCAGTAAAACGGCCTAGAATTCTCTGGTTCAAGCTTCTTTCTGCTAAATGTTTGCAGGTGGTCAGAGGTTATTCCATGATTTTAGACTGAATATCTATGGGTTTGGACTTTGAAGGGGCTTTGTCTGACTTAAGAGGACCATCTTAAACTAAAACGATCCTTTCTGTGCGTGTACTGTTGGTATAATGAAATGATACATTAACCTGTGACTGTAATCCTGGTTGCAGCTCTCTGACGTCATCGGCCAGCTCCACAGCCTCCTCTCAGAGCGGCGGTCTGGGAGCAAACCGCAAGAAGAGCGTCCCTCTCTCCATCCGGAACCTGAAGAGGAAGCACAAGAAGAAGAGGACCAAGTTCTCCCGCGAGTTCAAGCCTGGTGACCGGTGAGTTAGCAGCCGTACAGACAGCATTTGTGTCTTTTTCCTTCTCCGCTGTATCTTTGATGCCTTTCTAAATTAATTTACTAATGGTTTCATCCATTCAAACCCTCTGCCTCTCAGAGCTTCCGTTAGAAAGAATTGGTTCCGGTCCACTTGTCTTGGAAGATTTAAATTTACCGGACAATTGGAAGAAATTCGGTTAAATGATTAATTGTTTATTAAGCATAACATTTATGGATAGGTAGGTAATGTAAAAAATGACATCATCAAAACATGTAGACTTATAAAATTTGTCGTTCATGGAACGGCTTCTGTAAGTCTCCCGCTATATTCAATAAAACTTGTGTGAGAGCAGCAAAAAAAAATATTTTTTTGTTTATTAAAATAACAAGGCTCTTGTTTGGATAATGGCGACATATTAGTTACTGTAGTTTGATACTGTGTTTGGTATTTAATTATAAGATGTTTGAGTTACATGTTTACCCATCAGTCCTGTTCCTTCATAAAGGAATTAGATAGCAGTGAGGTAGGAAAAAAGGATGACAGGAAGAACAGAGCGAGAGAGGCTTAGTAATGATAAATAATACGAAAAGAGGACATAATGGGAACAGGGCCAGAATATTACCAAAAATATCTTAATGTACATTAATTTTCCTTTGTGATAAGTAAACGTAGGTAACGCATGATAGAACCTCTACTCTAGAGGATACAAGTCAAGGGAGAGTTATAACACTGTTCCCTGTGTGTGTGTGTGTGTGTGTGTGTGTGTGTGTGTGTGGGTGTGTGTGTGTGTGTGTTGTGTGTGGTGTGTGTGTGTGTGTGTGTGTGTGTGTGTGTGTGTGTGTGTGTGTGTGTGTGTGTGTGGGGGTGGTGTGGGTGGGGGTGTGTGTGTGGGGGTGTGTGTGTGGGGTGTGTGTGTGTGGGTGTGTGTGTGTGGTGTGTGTGTGTGGTGTGTGTGTGTGTGTGTGTGTGTGTGTGTGTGTGTGTGTGTGTGTGTGTGTGGTGTGTGTGTGTAGGTGTGTGTGTGATGTGTGTGTGTGTGTGGTGTGTGTGTGTGTGTGTGTTGTGTGTGTGTGTGTGTGTGTGGTTGTGGTGTGTGTGTGTGTGTGTGTGTGTGTGTGTGTGTGTGTGTGTGTGTGTGTGTGGTGTGTGTGTGTGTGTGTGTGTGTGTGTGTGTGTGTGTGTTGTGTGTGTGTGTGTGGTTGTGTGTGGTGTGTGTCGGGATTGCACGTGGAAGTTTGTCATCAACAAAGACCACGTCTGATGTGATGTGGAAGGACGGGCGCTTGGAGAAAAAGATCAGATCAAACGAGCTCATCCCCATCCAGCACCTCGACAGCCACGAGTTTTGTCCCGGGGACTTCGTAGTCGACAAAAGACGTAAGGAAAATCAACTTAATGGAGAATTTGGTTGTTTTACTTTGTTCTATTTTCCTCATTCAGACCAGTGAAGACACAGTGTGTCAGAATGCTGTCCCTTTGGACCGCCATGAGATTTATTATATAGGTCACCTAGTACCTAAAGCATCTAGGTCATTTCAACTATGCCAAGACAATGTGTGTTTGAAATGGACTAATATATATATAGTTTATGATAAGGCTGTTATCTGAAGTGGTCATTTCCTTTTATAAAAACATTTCTGTTGTAAATATTTACCTTTTTTAAGGCCTTTTGTTGTATCTCTAAATGTGTGCTCTCTCAGCCCAAGCCCTCCAGGACCCGGGGGTGTACGGTGTGATCCAGTCCGGTGATCACAAAGGCAGAACATGTGTCGTCAAGTGGATCAAACTCAACTCCAGCAGCGACGACGTGGAGGTCAGTCAGGGAAACCACAGAGATTTACAGAGAGATTGACAGTGTTATAGAGGGAGGAAAGGGGGCCTTTTAAGAATGACTAAAAATGACCAATTATACATCAATGAATCACCCTGGAAGAACAATCCCAATGAATTGATATAGTTACAACTATATTTAGTTCTAAAAGTAGCAAAACATTATAAAAACATCAGTTAACAAACTCTACCACATTGCTTTGCTGTTGTGAAATGCGACCCCCATTTATTTTTAATTCAACAAGAATGTTCTCCATGTTGGGATTTAACAAAGAATTCTGGCTGAACAAACGCAGCGAAGGCATTGAAAAACAGTTTCTTCAAGAATTGAAGGTAACACGGGGTCAGTAATTGATAAACAAATGATCATTTAGGGGTGAGGTGTTTATACGCAGGTATGAAAAGCTGTATGTTTTAACCAACCCCACTACACTCCTTCGTATACCGTCATTAGATCTTCTTGTGTTGCTATACGTGTCAATTCAACTTGATGCTGTCGTATAAATCAAATAATCCAGAACATTTTTGTTTTTCTTCCAGGTTTTTGGTCTGGAGGAGGATGTCAGCGTGTACGACATCACAGATCATCCAGATTTCCATTTCCGCACCACAGACATCGTCATCAGAATATGGAACTCAGAGAACGGAAACAACGACTGTGAGAATGAGGTGAGAAAAGGGCTGGACATGTAACCATATGTTACGTCAAAGGGAATCAAAAATGTCAATTGTAGTATTATTATTATTATTATGGAGTTATAAACACTGCACCTTTTTTTCTTCTTTTATATATATATTTTATTGAGCATTAAAAGTACAAAATATACAATAATAGAATAAGAAAGGGACAGAAACATAATGCTCACTTTCAGTTTTCTATTTTAAACATCCCCTTCCCCATCCCGCCTCGACCTCAGGTAAGAAACTAAATTAGGCATACAAAAAAAAGAATTCTAAATAAATAAATAATAATAAGGGAAAATTGTAAGCAAAAATATTCTTACAATAAGAATAATATGAACCAAAAGGACTCAGTCATCTGATCTGTTATGCATAATATCCAGAGTGTCTATGAAAAATAAAAGCAATCTACCTTTTTGAAGGGCTTTACAATCTGTACAACACACAATAAAATATCCAGTAGCCTTGTTTTCATGTGTATAACGTGTTGGGGTTTGCTGATAATGCTCGTTTCTCTTTATAACCCTCCCCTCAGACGTCGGTGGGCCAGGTGTCCCGGGTGGATGTGAGCAGCAAGGTGGAGGTGGTGTGGGCGGATAACTCCATGACCATCGTCCTGCCACAGGTTAATGTTTATCTTTAGTCAAATATAATATTTTATTCTAGAAATGTTGCTGAAAAATTGTCTCCTAACAATCACAACACGCAGCACCTCTACAACGTGGAGTCTGAGATCGAGGAGACGGATTACGACTCGGTGGAGGAGACGAGCAGCGTGCTGTCCACTGAGGAGTGGGAGGACGAGAGCGACAGCTGGGAGACGGACAACGGCCTCACCACGGAGGACGACAGCCACATCCACAACACAGACGCCACCGACACAGTGACCCCCACCCCCACCGGCTCCTCAATGTTCATTATCCCCCCTCTAGAGGGAGGCAAAGCTGGGGTCACCAGCCCCTCTAAAGGGGCCACTGGAGAGGAGGGGGAGGCATCTGTAGCTGCTGCGAGCCCTGCTTCTGCTGGAGGTGGGCAGACTATTTTTTCAAAATATTTATAATATTGTTCGTGTTAAAGGTCCCATGTCATGCTTTTCCGGTTATTACCCGTCCCCTTGTGTGTTATGAAGGTCTTTATGCATGTAAACCAGGGGTGCCCACACTTTTTTGGCTGGTGAGCTACTTTTGAAATGACCAGCTCACCGAGGTCTACCAACCAAAAAATAAAATCCCAAATTGCAAGGGTTGCTGACTAACACGTTTTATTTATACATGGGATAACTACAATAGGGCTGCAACAAACGACTAATTTGATAATCGATTAATCTATCGATTAATGAAACGATTAATTGACTATTCAGACTATTACTGTATGCCTTGCACAATTTCTCAAGCGCTCTTATTTAGCCATCAACTTTTAGATTTAGCTTGAGGTTGTTTTAGGCATGTGGAAACTAACAATGAAGACAATAAAGATGAATACTTGATTCAAAAATACATATTATTAAATTAACTTAACAAATTGTTTACAAAATTAACATTGCTTTTTATTTAAATTAAATAATTAATATTTCACATCAAAAGAAACAACAATGTTTTAACAAATCGTATTAAATAATCTGATGACAGAACTGTAAACAGAATAGCTAAAACTTTAACAAACTAAATAACTCAGTTACCTCTAATCATTAACCCATGTTTGTATCATTGAGTTAACTGCGTGTGTTGCTGCTAGCATACATAACACCTGACGTGGAAACGTTACTCGTGGATGGGGCTGCAGAGCTGCTAGAAAGACAGTCGAACCCGGTGCATTCCTCCGTCTGGATGTGGAGCACTTTTGCTAAATGTTTAGACAAATTGCTCGTGTTACCGCCCTCACATGCTGAACTCTCTTGGCAAGGAGCATTGTCCACCTCAAGACGGGTAACATTTAACCACACCTTGGAGTGCTTCTCTCCGCCATCCCCGCCGTGTGTTGCTGTATGTAGCAGCTGAGTGTGTGTAAACTGCCCCGCCTTTTAAATCCTCTGGAGCAGAGAGAGGAGCTGTGGATTATAGTTATTGATTAATGCATCAGTGTTTCTTAGGATCAAAAACACTAAACTCACAACTTAAAATGAAAGCGTTTAGTTTATTTAATAAAAGAGCGCATGATCAATGTGAAAAGTGACAGTAGATTAGTTGCAATTTGGTGCTATATATATATATATATATATATATAAATATATATATATATATATATATATATATATATAAAAAAAAAAAGAATAATAAAAAAAAAAAAGATTATAATTTTTTTTTTAACACCTTGAATTTCAGGGGGGGGTGGGGCTCCTTTGGCGGGGCGCAGCTATATTTCGGGTATAGTAACGTAACGTCCGCGGAGCCGTTACGTTTGGACCAATTTTGGACTTCCTCACACACACACACTCGGCGGGACGTTGCGAGGCTCGCTGCTGCAAGGAGCGGGACACTGTGAGCTGGCTCACTGGTGTTGGGTCGGCGAGACACCGCGGAACTCAGCCTCAGCACACACACAAACTACCAGCCAGGCTGCGGGTGTGTGTGTGTGTGTGTTCGGGCTGGTTTCGGGCTGGGTTTCGCTGTGTCTCGCTGTCTCGCAGACGGCCACTGGGCTCACAGGGGAGGGGGGGGGGCAGGAGCTCCAACAAGCCGTTTAGGACAGAGTGAATACACATACTTTACAGAGATGCTGTATGAGAAACCAATGTGATTTTGGAACATTGAACAATATAAATCTATTCTAGTAGACCTCAACAATGGAATTATGATCAGTAGAAATGGCCATGACATGGGACCTTTAAGGGAATAATGCAAACCATTAATTATCCTCCTTGAATCTTGTGTCTGATAGCTACTCTAAAAAAAGTTAAATGTATATCTTTAGGCACACATAGGATTTCTGTTTTATACAAAACAATTGATTAGCATTCAATTTCAAACCACAAAGAATACATTTTTACAGTAAAATGATAAATGGATATTGCTACATTTCAAAAACTCAGGAAATGAACACCTAGACATTGTAGATTCCATGTCAGAACACAATAATATATTTAAGTATTCCAGTAATGTGTGTTCCATATTTTAAATGTATTGTATCTACTTGTTTAAAATGAAATGTGTTTTAGGTTGACTTTTAAAATCTGTTCAGGGACTACAGATGAAAAATAGCCTCTTGGCTAACTCTGGCACATTTACAGAAATGTTCATTAATGTGCACTGTCCCTGTTAAATAAATGAATACAAAAACTAATCATCAACCTAAGCAAACCCATCTGGTTTTCTAAAAATACGGTTACCATGCAACGCAAACAGCAATGTCAATTTTGAAACTTAATTTGATGATTAAATGTTTCTAGGTTTAGTTTTTTTTTTAATCATAAACCCCCCCCCCCCCAAATCAAAGCCATTAAGTTGATCCTACCAACAATTATTGCCTGTCTATCCTGACCTGATAAAGCCTCTTTCTCTTTGCCATGGACATCCATTGTTGTCTTGAATCTAAAACAACAAATAACTTGATTACCAGAAATGAAATTGGGATTCAAACAATTTGAAACGAAATTGGGATTCAAACTAAATGTGATGCTTCGACGTATAACCATTCTACAACCATTTGTTCCCAACTCTATTTATGCTCAGAATGTAATAAACGTGTTATTTCTCCCTGCCTAGGAACCATTCCAGGAGCAGTGAACGGAGCGGAGAAGCCCGGTAAAGAGGGTTCCTCTCGGGGCTTCAGGGAGCTGAAGGAGGCGCTGAAGATCCTGGAGAGCCTGAAGAACATGACTGTGGAGCAGCTCTGGACCGGAGGGTCTCCCACCTCCCCGACTTCCGCTGAACCCGCCTCCACCACCAGCGTAGCGAGCTCAGTGACGCCCACCGTACCAGAGAAGCCGACCAAGGAGAAACGTTTCCTGGACGACATCAAGAAGCTGCAGGAGAACCTGAGGAAGACGCTGGACAACGTCGCCATCGTGGAGGAGGAGAAGATGGAGGCTGTGGTGGAGGCAGGGGGCGCAGGAGCAGCGACAGAGGTTAGTTCAATACATCTACAACACTGCCAGTGCAGTCCAAATGGATGTGTAAGTGGTAAAAAGTGCATCATTATTGTGTCTCACGTGCCGATGTGTGTCTGTTCAGTTGGAGCGAGCGGGAGAAGAGAAGCCTCAGCAGGACCCTCAGACCCCGGTCGGAGGAGGGGAGTGGCCCAGCGAATTTCTCAGTGACACCCCGGTACTGTGCCAGCAGAGCGGAGGGAAGCCCGGCGTCACCTTCACCAGCGCCAGGGGGGAGGTGTTCTCTGTGCTGGAGTGGGCCCCAGGTGAGACATGTAGAGAGGGTTTTGTCAAACTGAGACCAACACACACACACATCCTTTAGCTTCCCTGAACACACAAGTTGTATTCCTTCGTTTCTATTTCTTTCTGTGTTTATATTTAATCATCGTATGTCTGCTCTCTCTCTGTTCATCTTTTCAGACACACAATCGTTTTATAAAATGGAGTTTCAGCCAGCGGAGGCAAAGAAGTTCTTCAGCACAGTGAGGAAGGAAATGGCTCTGCTCGCAACGTCCCTGCCAGATGGCATCATGGTCAAAACATTTGAAGATCGCATGGTGGGTTCAAAGCAGCAATAACAGTTACTGCATTTGTCTATCCACAATTCACTTTATAGTTGCAAATATTACAAACGATGTTACAAAAAGATGTTAAGCTTGTAAAATGATGTCCAGAAATATTTTCATATCCTGTGAGTGTATATCATGCTTTGAGAACCTGAGAACAATCTCTGCATTGAATCTTTAAAATCTACGACGATGCAGATACTCACATTTACAAACTGCTTTGAGTTGAAAAGCAGAGCCAAAATGCATACTTGTGTTCAAAAACTAACATTTCTGATGCAGAATTCTCTACAGATACAGCTGTGACCACACGCTTAGAAATTAATCCTGAATATTATTCCACAACATTAGTCAAATCATACGTCATTGTCCAATGTTTCTTCCGGGTACGGCTTAACGTCATGCGGTACCCGGAACCAAATGGACCAATCCGCGGAGCCGTTGCGTTAAGCCCCCGCTGATTGGTCCAAATTGACCAATCCACGGACTTCCTCACACACACTCAGTGCAAGCAGCTCTGCTGATTTCTCCTCCCTGGCTGCAGGCTGATAGCAGACAGTTGGGATCGCGGTGAAATTCTCTCTGCAGACCCATTCTCTCCGCAGACCCATTCTCTCTGCAGACCCATTCTCTCCGCAGACCCATTCTCTCTGCAGACCCATTCTCTCTGCAGACCCATTCTCTCTGCAGACCCATTCTCACAGCGTTTATCAACCTTTTTCTTGCTCAATATCAAGCCACACTTATTGTTTTTACCTCGGCTGTGACTTTGTGTGTGCTCAGGGTGAGTTTGGCTGTGTTTCGCTGTCTATCGCTAAACAAGGAAACAACACCTCCACGGAGCTCAGCGCGATTCACAACGTCCCGACCAATCAGAGCACACTGTGCTCACAGGGAGGGTGGGGGCTGGAGCTATTGGAGCTACAACGAGCCGTTAAAGGCAGAGAGTGAAATTCAGTGAATACACGTAGTTCACAGAGATGCTGTATGAGGAACCAATGTGAGTTTGGAAAATTGCACAATATAAATCTATTCTAGTAGACCTCAACAATGGAATTATGATCAGTGGAAATGGCCATGACATGGGACCTTTAAAACATGATTAACCTCAAGGTAGAAGCTGTCTCTCCTTTGCTCTTGTCACATCATATTCTCGCTCAGAAATACTGACTGCATACATCATAAATCTTGATATGTTCTTTCCCTTCTTCCACACAGGACCTGTTCTCGGCTCTGATCAAAGGTCCGACTCGGACGCCCTACGAGGACGGTCTGTTCGTGTTTGACATCCAGCTGCCCAACATCTACCCCTCGGTGCCGCCTCTGTTCCGCTACCTGTCGCAGTGCAGCGGCCGCCTCAACCCCAATCTCTACGACAACGGCAAGGTGTGCGTCAGCCTGCTGGGAACCTGGATCGGAAAGGTGAGTGCTGTTCTGCTGGGTCACGTATAAACATCTATCAGTTCTTCTTATCACTTAAATGTAGAGACAACCTGCAGGTTTACAGGTCTGTGTGTACCATAATTAAAGTAACACACTAAGTCTCTTTCTAACCAGACTTGATTAAAAATGCATAGCTGCATTTGGAAAGCTTTGTCAAAATTGCAGTTATAGTTACTAAATGTAGCGCAGATTGTGGTTAAATGATTGGGGAATACATCGATAAGTTAAGACAAAACAACATATTCAAGGCTTTTCAAAATCACTTTTAAATGATGAAAAATATCCATCATTATTTCATAGACTAAAATGAACATTAAGTGATATATTACATTTTAATAGAAATTGTTAATGGGATTAATGATTATCAATGTTTGTGATGATCCACAGGGCACTGAGAGATGGACCAGCAAGTCTAGCCTGCTGCAAGTCCTCATCTCTATACAAGGTAAGAACACACACACACACACACACACACACACACACACACACACACACACACACACACACACACACACAACTTTCAATACGGCCTGCCTGACAAACTGAGTCCATAAATTCACTACTTTTTGTCAAGCCAAATCTGTATCTAGGATTCAACAGGACTGGGTGTTGATACTGAATAACTTTATTAACCAACCCAGTAGCAATAAGAGTTTAAACTTCTCTTGTCGTCCTCGTTTGATCCTTTTTGTACCCAGATGGGTACTTTAGTGTGGTTTTGCTTACAGCCAATCATCACTAGCGCACTTCAATTTAATGTGACACATGATTGATTGGTCTAGTTCCCTAGCAGCTAATGGCCATCAAGTATGCACTGTGCTGAAGTGCAATATATATAAATATTTTATGAATTAAAAATGTTTTTGTTTGAATTTTTTTTGGATAAGTAAGGTTTGCTCGCGGTATTTTGTGCAACCAAATGCTTTCTTTCACATGGTGGGTATTGAATTAGGGTATCAAATAAGTGATTTATCGCATTATGTATTACTTTAGGGGTACTTCTTTTTTTAACTAAGACCAGCTGAAATGTGTATTTATCATCTTCTCTCCAGATTTAAGTGAAAAAGTCCTTCACCACACAGTGAAATATCCTCTGAACCTCCTTGTGCTGTTTTCTCTTGTATTTTTCAGGCCTTATCCTGGTCAACGAGCCGTACTATAACGAGGCAGGCTTCGACAGCGACCGAGGCCTTCAGGAAGGATACGAGAACAGCCGCTGCTACAACGAGATGGCCCTGATCAAGATGGTGCAGACGATGACGCAGCTGCTGCAGCACCCGGTGGAGGTCTTCAAGCAGGAGATCCAGGAGCACTTCGCCTCCAACGGCTGGCGGCTCGTCTACCGGCTGGAGGCGTGGCTGGAGCTGCACGAAGGTGCCGAGCGGGGGCAGGCGGCGCACATGGCCTCCAAAGCCCACCGACGCTCATCAGTGGAACCTCTGGACGAGCAGGGGCCCGTAGTGGTGGCCCACAGCAGTCCCAGTAAGCCTGTGGAGGAGGGGGTCGCAGGAAAAGGAGTGACCAGTATTATAGAGGAGGAGCTGGAGGACTCAGGGCTGAGCCCCTCCACCACAGCCGCCTCTCAGCAGGAGCTGAGCCAGAACTCAGACTGCGACAGCCAGCAGGGGGTCTCCTCTGCCGACGGGGAGACCAGGACGGGCTCGGTGGTCCGCGGCCCGGCGTCAGAGCCCGCCCCGGCCAGCGCAGGAGGGACGGGCTCTGTGGGAAGCCAGCCGGTGGTCCGACCAAAGAAACGAAGAAAGAGCTACAGGAGTTTCCTCCCGGAGGGCGGCGGGTACCCGGACCTCGGCTTCCCGCTCTTCCCGCTCTCCAAGGGCTTTGTGAAGAGCGTGCGGGGGGTGCTGCTGCAGTACCGCGCCGCGCTGGTCGCCGCCGCCGTCCCCCAGCACACTGAGGACAAGTAAGTGCCTCCTCGCCGTCCCCTGACAAACCTCTGCACTGTTCCCTGCTCTTTTCCTCCTTCTCTTCTACCTTTTCATCCGCCTCCAGCCGTAGAGGAGGATCCGTGTTTGTCTGCAGGGGGGCTACTGTTTTCAATCTCCTGTACCCCTGTCCAGAGCTGTGCCCCCAGCACTGCCCACGTCCATGTCCTCGTTTTTCCTCGTCTGTCCTGCTTCCCCAAACTCCACAATGTTCTGCCCTATTTCCCCCCCATAATCCCTCTGGATCATGACTGCAGGAGAGCAGCACCTGATGGTGAGGAGAGTGCACCGGTTCAGGTTCTGACCCGACTTGATAATGTCTTTGTTCTCCTTCAGTGACTCTTCAGATGAGTGTGATGGATAAAGAGCAGCGGGCCTCACCCAGTTGCACAAACCTGTTGGAGCTGCCCGTCACAGGAACCCTCATCTGGACGCAGGTAAACAACAAGCTTTTACCAGAGGTCAAAGTTTCTCTTTTGGCCTCAGCAGGACTTTAGTGGAGCTGATTTGGACGCATGAAGAACTGAATGAGATGGAGAATCAGTGCCATGGACTCTCTTCCACCCAGCCCCCAGCAGCATCCGCCACATGTGTGGGGATTTGTTAACCACTCTCTATCAGCCTGAAAAATGTTAAGCAGACTTGTTATTATTGCTGCATTTTGGACGAGATCAAAGATGGCTGAAAAACTGAAGACCCAGCGCCTCCTGGGGTCTTTCTGTAGCACTACTGGTGTCCTCTCTGCACCGTCCTGCACTACAACACCCAACGGACAGTCTGGTCTGGGAGAGGAGACGCCGTGTAAACACACTGACCAGGAGGACTCTTTTTAAATAGAAATCACTGGTTGTACGCTTTCTGCCAAATGCTCTCTGTCCAAAAACACACACACACACACACACACACACACAATATTCAAGTAGAGCATACTGAATGTCAGTAAAACTGCCAACCACAACATCTTCACCACTTCTTCCACTTTAGTGAACTCGCTGGTATTTTCCTACGCCAAGCACCCGCACTGAACCACGCCACAAACACCGAGTGACAAAGTTTACATACGGATCACCTCGTGTGTGTGTGTGTGTGTGTGTGTGTGTGTGTGTGTGTGTGTGTGTGTGTGTGTGTGTGTGTGTGTGTGTGTGTGTGTGTGTGTGTGTGTGTGTGTGTGTGTGTGTGTTGTGTGTGTGTGTGTGTGTGTGTGTGTGTGTGTGTGTGTGTGGTGTGTGTGTGTGTGTGTGTGTGTGTGTGTGTGTGTTGTGTGTGTGTGTGTGTGTGTGTGTGTGTGTGTGTGTGTGTGTGTGTGTGTGTGTGTGTGTGTGTGTGTGTGTGTGTGTGTGTGTGTGTGTGTGTGTGTGTGTGTGTGTGTGTGTGTGTGTGTGTGTGTGTACACTGCATTCAAAAGCTCCTTTCACTTTCCGTAGGATTTAGCAAAACGTGTTCCCTCACCAAAACGCAACCTGTGCTTTTGACGCTTTTTAATTCGTTGTACACACAGATGCTTTCAGTGTTACAGTTTCAGAGCCAAGCTTTACCCACAATGCTCCACTCTTCTGTGACCGACGTGAACCCACATCACATGCAAATGCCACCATTTCAAGATGAAATAGAAGTCAAACATACAGGATCCATTCCGTTCATCTCATTTCAACATGTTGCCTTACTTGAATTGTTGTTAATAATTTCAGATCATTGTACAGAGCTGCTTGTGTCACGCTTTAAACATATATACACATACACATACACACACACAGGCCGAGACACACTCCAACAACCACTCAGACCCCGCTGCAGTGTTTTCCTTCCTGATAGTGCTGCTAGAGCACTCCGGTCATAGCTGTATCCTGATTTTTCCTCTCCAGATTGCACGTGCAGAGTTAAAGAACATCAGATTACGAACTACAGTAAGTATGATGCTGAAGCTTTGATTATATTATCCTGTTTTGCTTTATTTATTTTTTCCCTATCATTCCGTGTTTACCCTGGCTTGAGCGTCTTATCCCATGAAGGTGAATGGTGAGAGAAAATTACACAAATAACAGCACACAGACAAGATCTTGTATTTATCTATCTGTTAATTGAATAAACTAAATCATGGTTTTATTTACCAAGTTGCATGAAACTTGCTTTTTCACAGATTTCGCTGAAACTGTGAAAGAAAGTGAAACCTTTGGGTCCAACCGTGCTTCCTGGGGATGATCAGAGCAGCCTTTGCTTACATTTGACTTTTGAAATAGCTGCATCCCACCTCTAACGTAATGCTCTTTTTTTCTGTCCATATATTATGATGCTCATTGATATACATATGCTAATACAGCTCAGACAAACCCCTTGTGCTTGCTATGATCTGTACACAGGAGAGCGCTGGCTGTGTTTTACTTGAACTTGAAGAGTGTTTCTGAATGAGAGCACGTTGTGAAGCTCTGAGTGATGGGAGAGGATTAAAACCATGAGCCAAGTGAAATAAAGGTCATGAATGAGGGTAGTTTGCTTTGACTTTGTTTGTGTATACACCCTGACTCTTAAAACTGGCATTCCTGTATCTGATGTGGCGACCAGGCCTCTGACATTAGTCCTCTTCCTTGGAATTGAATAAATTATTTTGTTATTATTTGTATTATGTTGCCTTTAATGCTCCAGGAGGTGTTGCTTCAAGCTGTGGCATGTAGCCTTGTTTGCTTACTTGCCATCCTGCCCTCCCCATTTGCTGCTGTTTGTAAAATGCCCCCTTGTGTTTTCAGAAAGAGTTTGGAGCGCGGCTGACATTACTCCTTCATGTGTCAGAAGTTGCAGAAAATGTGAAGCTAGACCTCTAAGCAACACAAATCTGGCAGGATATCAAGCACATGATGTACAATTGTCTGTGTATGTGTGTATATTATTCAAATTGAAACCATTGTTATTATTATTACTGCGAGGAGTTTGTTTTACAGCCAAAGCATGTAACATGTTGCTTTAAGCCTTCTGAAAGGACTACACAAGACTTGACTGTACGATGTCTACATTTCCACAGTGGCCTGTTATTGAAATATTAAAAAAAGAACTAATAAAGTTATGATTTGTAGCCTGATTCCCTCTGTACAGATGTCATGACTATATTGAAATATATATATATATTTAACACAAACGTGAGTTCTAACAGTCACGTGGATGCTTGGGGCATACGTGTACAAAATGCTGAGCGTGTATTGTACTTATGATTTCATTTTTTAATGGTTTACTTTTGTTGCGTTAAGACAACTGATGTATTAAACTTTGCAAGCAGAACCGTAGGAAGATTCTGGCTTATATTTATTTGGATCCATGTCAGCTGTTATATCGCCTGCAGAAAGCACGTAGGTTTTCTCGATATAAGAATACTTCGTACTTAAAATATCTTTCTTGATAAATGACTCACCCAGTGTTAACTTGGAGGGACAAACAGTTCTTGTTTGAACACAGTGAACTTTATTTTGGTAAATGCAAGGTAACAGGGTGAGTTAGTGATATAAAAGGTATTACTTTAAGAAATCACACGATAACACTAAACAACAACTATCATTTTAAGAACGAACGAGGCCCTATTCTGCATTTGGGGTTTTCCCTTTCCTACACACTACGTGTTAAAATAGGTTTTTGTTCATGAAAGTGGTTTGCAAAAGCTAAAATACCAAACTTCCGTCCAGAAGGAGTTTCTCTCCATTCAACCTTTTTCCTTCTCCCTTGATCCTCCTTAGCAACGGTCAATATTGAGTTTAGCTGCGGTGTGTTATCGAGTATTAATAACCTCTGTGAATTATGTTTGCCATATATTCATTGCACCAAGTGTTTTTGTTTTTTAGCTTTTAACATTATTTTATATATTTAAATAAACATTTGGTGTAAATACTTTTCTATAGTATTTTGTATGCCGAATAGTTTCTTAAAAATACTTTTTTTTAATTTTCTTTACCTACCATTAGCTACAACTTATTTTCATAGATTGTTTATGTTCGCACCACCAGACACCAAAGCAAATTCCTATGTGTAAACTTTCCTGGCAATAACCTTGATTCTGAAATGTCCGAATTGACCAATCAGAATCCAGTATTCAACTAAGCCTCGTATTAAATACTAATATCCCTAAATGTGTATTCATCCACAGCGGAAAATAGTCTCCAATACAGACCGTTGTTCTCATGTTTGAGCTACTAACAGTGCACAGTAGTTCAGGAAACTGCCTTTAAAACAAACTGTTCAAGAAACAAATCAGACGGTTCATTTTTCATGATTTATTTTCCAATCCGAAACACTCAAGCAGAATGTTTGATTTTATAGTAGAAAAAAATACAGACATTTGTCAAATGGAAAAATAGATCTCTCGAGAATAAAGAATCAATAATTTCAATATTCAGTGTGCCAGACAAATAAAAGGAGTTCCTCCCTTCACCTCAAACAAAGACAACAGTTAATAAGCAGCAGGTAAACACGATAAGAGCAACCATCAGACGGAGTTAATGTCTCTCTTCTACAAAATGAACATCAGGTCCTTCATCATCTGTAACATATCCGTCTGATTCAACTCATTTATATTTTCTGACCTAGAGAGAAACTGGATCATTCTGTCGCTCCAGTTTCTTCCTCGTGAGAAGCTGAAGTTAAGGAAGGTGTCACCATAGTAATAACAGTTTGAGTCCAAATGTGCCAAAATTACACCTTTTTTCAGATATAAGTGCAAATGTTTGACTACCTTAACCTTCCCAATCGAATTTATTTGTAACTGAGGTTGGGAAAATGAGTGTATTTCCTAAAGGATGCACCAGCATGTTGAGGCCAGCAGGGGGCAGCACATCAAGGCACACAGACAGAGGATCACTGCATCACAGACACCCAGCTCAGAACATAACATGTATTCAAGTGTTTGGGGTCAGTAGCACTGTGGGAAAACAAATATAATATCATGTATTTTTCCTTACATCTGTGGATCCCAAACAAAATGCGAACACATATTATTTTTCCTACACAAAGTTAAGATGATTTTACTTTGTTCAACCCAATCATTTGTTTGTATTAATAAGGATTATTTATTATTAATTTAGGATGATTTTACATCTTAAGGCCACTACATTTCATGTCATCTTTCTCTCTTTGGTTGAACTTACACGTCGGCATACTTGCTTCATTTTAAGGGGTACCATGCAAATAAAGGTTTGTGATGGATCAACACTCTGTCCACTTTAACAGTCAGTAGCCAGACCTCCGGTGTTGGTGCTACAGATCACATTTTCTCCATAAAACAGCAAAATCTAATTGGGAAGGTGCGTCTTCAAGTATGGTTTCCATCGTATGTGCTTCCAGCTCGTCTGCTGAACTCGAGTAAACATAATTTAGACAAAATAACAGAAAATGGACCTCCATGTCCCATAAAGGCTTCAAAATGGCGTTGGCACCAAACTAACATTGTGCAAAATCATGTAAAAATAATAATCATTTTAAATACAATATTTTTGGTCTTTAACAAGTCAATTCTTTACACTGTCAAACATACATGTGGCATGCTGATTAAATAAAACATATTATGCATAACTGAAATAACAAGCTGTGGTGTTAATGTTGAAATCCCCCTCCCCTTATTTCCTAATGTACAGTTACTGTCCCTGTGCGTTGGCCTCGAGGTGAAACCCACTCCTCTCTCTGAGCGTCAGGACACTTTGCTAAAGCTCCCAAATGATTTCCTGTGGTGAGGATGAAGAATAACGGTGCTGTGTCTGCAACATAATTCGTCTACCTCATGCAGCATTTAACAAGTTGATATCTCCCCCTCCCCTCTTCTCTCTCCCCTCTCCATACACTCACCATCATGCTGTTTTCACCAGCTTCCCCCCTCCCTGTTTAAGGCCACTCGGAGTTCATTTCTCTTTGATTCAAACTGATTTCATTGTGTTCACGTCTTTTTTTTGTCCAATGAATGAAACAAACCTCAGAAGAGATTTGGATTACAATTAAAAACACATTTTAAAATCTGACTTTGCTGCCCCGTAGGCCGAAGTCTGAGGCATCGTCTCCTCTACGTGACTTAAAGCTCAATGGTAAGGACACCTTGGTGATGGTTAATACATCTGCCACACGGACAGCCTGTGGGTGGAGGATGCAGCGGAGGAGCACAGAGGCACTGAAACATCAACCACCCGTCCAGGAGCCTCTGAACATGTTTACAATTCAGCTCCAGGTCTTTTTTCCTCAGTGTAATGTGTTCTTTGGAGCCCACCTTCAACTATTTGGTAATTTCATAAGTCACTGCCAGTCAAGTCATAGGAAGCCAGTTATTCACATGAACGGGATAAATCAGCACCAAACATACCCAACACTTCCTACTGAAGCCTCTTCTCTGTACCGATGAGGCAGATAACGTTGCGGTTAACAGTGAACGTGTCTTACATTGCTTTGCTCCCGTACCTGGACATTTCTGAATCAAAAACGCTCAAATATGTTTATTGGACCGAGTCTTGAAGTCTGTTTATCCAGTGATCAGTCTGGCCAGCCCTCGGTGCACCTCGGCCTGCAGCGGCCCGTACTCCACCACCTCTCCGTCCACGGTGATCACCCCTTTGGGGGAGGACGGCTCCAGCCTGAGCGCCCGCACCTTAGCGTGCACCAGATGTTGACAGCTGCTGGCCAGATGTAACCCCTTCTCCATCGCCAGGAAGAGCTTCAGCAGCGCGGCGCGGGATATCCCCCCCGTCACGTAGAACAGGTGGATGAAGCCGTCGTCAGGGGTGGAGTCCGGTGATGCCAGCAGGTCCTCCGCCAGGTTGGACTGGTACATGGCCAGTACCAGGACAAAATCCTCTTCCGGCACAACCACCCAGTCGCCGGGCAACGGCTGGTCCAGGGGCAGCAGCAGGGAGTCGAGGGGGCCGCTGGGGGCTTTGGTGGTGCTGCGAGAAGGCGTGCTCTCCGCCTTCCTCACCTTCAGGGAGTTGTTGGAGTGGCAGGAGTTGTGGAAGGAGTTCTGGCAGGGCGGTTCTCTGGAGGGGGGTGCCTGGTGGTGCAGCGGCGGGTTGTCCTCCTCCCCGTCGTCCTCGGCGACCGGCAGATAGGAGAGCGTGCCTCTGTAGACGCGCAGAGAGGCCAGCCGCACCAGCGTGCCGATGGTGAAGCGAGCGGCTCCCGTGTGGCGGTACTTCTCGCTTTCGATGTCCACGTCCGCCACGAAGCCCCAGGCCAGAGAGAGGAAGGAGAAGAGGCGGGGGCTGGAGGACAGGTGGACGGAGACCAGGTCCATGCGGGTCACCAGGCGCTGACACAGCAGGAAGCCACAGCTGAGCAGGAGCTCCTCGCTGAACACCGGGGGGGCTCTGCAAGGGAGGGGGAGGGGGGAGAGTTAGGAAGAGCTGGAAACATCTCCTTTAAGTCACATCTGAACTACAAGGACTGGAGTTTTGATATGATTTACATATATATATATATATATATATATATATATATCTGTATATTTTACAGGCGATGTTATTGTTAAGAAAAAATGTAAGAAAAAAATGATAATGGTCATCATACTTTCCCTAGCCTATGGTTACATAAGATAAGAATGACTTTATTGATCCCAATTTGGGAAATCTTTGCGTTGCAGCAGCCAGAAAAGACAAGGTATTGTACATTAGAGAAATGAAAAGACTAGAAATAAGCAGTCCAAAATGTAAACATCTCAAATAGAAATAAAATAGCATTAAAGAAGTAGAAAATATACATGTTGTTTACAGTAACAAAATATAAAGCAGGATATTATACATAAATAAAATAACTAGTTTTGTCCTTTGAAACTTCAAATCCCATTTAATGCAGAATGGTAGAATACAAATGAAAGCAGATTCACACATTATAAGCGTGTTTGTGAATAAACTATGTCTTCATGTATTATTTCAGCCATGCAGCAGTCCTCTAGAAGGAGTCAGTAAGAATCGAGCTGCAAAAATAAGATGCAGACACCAAAATAACAACGGGTGCACTTAGGCCACGTTTACACGGAGACGAAACGGGTTGTATCCGCTACAGTTCTCTATCGCAGGGGTTCCCAACCTTTTTTCCCAAGAGCCCCCCCAAATGACTTCTGTTGGAAGTTTCTCCTCCGCAACAGCGGTAATTAAAGTTTAAAAGTCTCAAAAATGCTACTTCTACTGTCACAAACTGGATGAATGTGAAGTATTTTGTTAAAGGAGGATGAAAGCGTAATTAAGGAGCACTATTGAAGTGACTTTGATGGTTATTGGACTCAGGATTAATTCATTTGGATTCCCGCTGTATGAAGAAATTAAAGGACGGAAAACAATGGAAGTGGAAACAATTCACAAAGGGATTAAACTGTTTAAAACACATGCTCAAAGTAAGCCGGATTTTGCCGATGTGTTTATGTGGATTCAAAAGTCGTAAATAATCTACAAAATGGAGGAGACCGAATCTGATCGGAGCAACTGTGACAAATAATCCAACTGCAACCGGCATGGACAATGACTATATTTTAAAAATGCGCAAATCCAGACAAGCCTGGTTTGGACACCTTACGGGCAGAAGAAACATTTCTATTAAAGAAAAAAATATACATTTCTGTCTTTGTATGCCTTTATTAGCTACTAACTTGAATTTGTATTCAAATTACTTAATCAATTTTTTTAAATATTTTATTGTAATGTAGAGACAAGGCTATTAGCGACAATCATGTATTGCGTTTAAAAAAAGTTACAAAAAAATAAATAAATAAAAGTCTAAACATTATATTTGGCCTCCCCCAGGTTGGGAACCACTGCTCTATTGTATGGTTCGTCCACACAAGGCCGTAACGGCTCCCAAGGTGGGTAGATCTGTGGACGGAAGGCTCTGGGGGGCCAAACGGCTCTGTGTGTACGTCATATACGATAATTTCCTGATAACGATGACGCCATAGCCCCGCCTCTCCCCACCTCTGCTGCTCACCCCCACGTCACCCACGTCATTGCTGATGTGTTTCGCCAACAACAATGGCGGATCATAGGGTTGCTTTCGTGCTCCAGACGCAGTACTGAACATGCTATAGATGTTAGTGCAAAATCTACAGCTCCTCTCCCACAACCATCGGCAACAAGTGGACATGGAGAACTACATGAACTACATGTTGCTAAATCCACCGCAGAGAATAAACAGAAGGGCAACCATGCTTGGGGGGTCTTCTTCGCTGCTTTTGGTGTATTTTGTGGCGGAAGTACAGCGCCACTTACAGGCGCTGCATATGTACAGCGTCTCCAGCGGGTCGAGCGGTCTCGTGTGGACGGACAAGTTTCTTGAGCCGATTCCGTGTGGACGGAAGACTTTTTTGATATCGACTAAGGTTTGTTTTCGTCTCCGTGTAAACGTGGCCTTAGTATTTTGGGACGTGGGTCGAGGCTTGTGCGTGTTTTGAGGAGTGAGCTATAACAGGAGTGATATACCAAAGTGGGGTAACTGTGACCTTGCTGTGGTATTGTAATAACACGGAGGAAAGAGGAGGTAGATGAGGAGGGAGAGGGGTGAGTTGAATAAAGCAGGAGGCTCAGGGACAAATACTGGAGGTGGGACAGAATCAGCTGATGGGCGGTCAGACAACAAAGAACAGCCCCATCTGGGAGAGTGGAGACAGGGGTGGAAGGTCAGGATAACACACACACACACACACACACACACACACACACACACACACACACACACACACACACACACACACACACACACACACACACACACACACACACACACACACACACACACACACACACCACACACACACACACACACCACACACACACACACACACACACACACACACACACACACACACACACACACACACACACACACACACACACACACACACACACCTATTACAGTGAAGGTGGATGTCTCAGTTCTCTGCAGATATCTCCATATTCATCTTCTTGAATTTACTCAGCAGTCAAATTATACAAATAACTTCCCTCTCAGGTTCTCTCTCCTTGTTTTATACAAGATCCTTTGTGCATTGTCTCTGTGTTCCTAATGAATGGGGAGTTTGAATAAGCGTCTTATATTTCCTCCACATGTACTCTGAGAAGTTTATGTAGTATCTGTGATCCACCAGAGGAGGGAGAACGTGCCTCACATCGAGGTGTCACACCTTCAGAGACGGTCAGCGCTGGGATGATGTTCCAGCTCCTGCTCATTATGTTTGTGTACAGAAACACATTAAACCCTCGCTCAGCTAACCTGTTCTCTGCATTGCATAAAACCAGATTCAGGTTCTAGCTGTCACTCGTTTGATCCGCGCAGCCTCAGTGAACCCTTCATTCAGCGGGGAATAATAACCAGATACTCTCTGGGTAGGGTCGCAGCAGAGAGAGAGAGAGAGAGAGAGAGAGAGAGAGAGAGAGATTCTGGATGCACCCGGAGTGTGAGAGGAGAAAACAATACAGAGTCTGCTGGTCCCTTCCTCTCATTGTTGCTGGCGCTCCGGCGTGAGGACCATTGTTTGATGAGAAGCTCATGATGGCGGATGAAGGGATGACTGAATGTGGCTCTTTTGGTGAAGACAGACCCCTCAGTGTAAGGTTTACTGTGACTTTATTTCATTTACCTAGTCAGAAATCCCACTGAGAATGTAAAACACTGCAGCACAAAGGATTACATAAAGGTCACTGGACACTGAGCTAAAGCCCCCAAATACACTGAGATACAAAATGACAGATGACAAAATAAATAAAAAGTAAAAGGGCAAGATAAAGCCCAAAGTGACCTACACACAGCAGAAGCAGCTTAAAAAGGAAGAGCCTCAGAGCGCTTTGTGAGGTTTTTCAATTCCCCACGCAACACCAGGTGACTTCGGAGGAGAAAGGGCAGGGTATTTAAAACAGACTAAAGAAAACAGGACTATTTATTTAGCTGGAAAAAAGGTAGATAGAGGGATGTTAAACAAGACTATTAAACCTTTCTTTTTTCAGTTGACTTTTTACCGAAATGCATAAACACATTACGTACAAATGTTTAATATACTACTACGGGTCTGTTGTACAGGTTATGCTGAAAGGGTGAAGAAGGATGGCTAAGCAGGAGTCTCTCCACCTGATCTGTTGCCCTTATTGTTATTTGGTTTTCTCCTCCTTTCTTTTCTTTGTGTCCTTCAGCTTCTCCTCTGTGTTCTTTGTTCTGGCTGATTAAACTCCAGACAATCCCTCAAATGAGCAAATCATTAATAATGAATATGAGATGAGTGCATTTGAAAAGCACCAGAAGGCAGGCATGTGTGTGTCTCTGAGGTGAGGAGTTATACAAAGGATACCATATCTATAGAAAACACTACATCTAATTAAATAAAGTATTATATATCTTCACACAGTAATTGTGTTTGGAGGTATTTGTTGTGGCAGTCACTTTTCCTGCTGTTACACGGTGTACATCAATTATATTACTGTGCAGCGTTCTTTAAAGAAAGATCTGATTTAAACGTTTATTTTTTCAAATACACGTGAAGGTTGTCTGAACCGCCTTTGAAGCCATGTTGGACTGGACAGGAAAAAGAAACAGCCAGCAGACGCTAAAGATCAAACTAAGCTCCCTGAGTAGATTCAACAAATGTCCTTTGTAATTATCTAATGTAATCGGTAAAAATGCTTTTGAAATTAATTTATAAACCTCATGTCATTTGTTTCATCATTTAAAGGTGGGGTAGGTCATTTTGGAGAAACCGGCTCGAGTGCGCTAGAATTTGAAAATACACAAACGGAACAAATCTGCCACTTCCTCACAGAGCCCCTCCTCCAACACACACGAACGCACTCATGACCAATGAGGGCACGAGATAAGTTTGTGCACAGATGGAAGGCTGACAGGCAGGTAGGCCATCCAGTTACTTTAGCCGGGCCGGCTAAAATGATTGGTCGTGCTTTTTACAGCGCCACGGCTTCCACAGATGACATTTTTTTATGTATTTATTGTCAAAGCATTTAATATATTCATTGCTATCGGGACGTTAAGAGCATTCCATGGAATATAACAAAAAGTGTTTCTGAAATACATTACATACCCCACCTTTAATTATTAGTGGAAACTTTCCAGGTTTGCATTCTTTTGCACTACAGCAGAAATACCTGTTATTTTGTACACACAGACACTGTGCACCATCTGCACTCAGAAGAGGCTCCTCTGAGTGGACAGACTCGAGGGGGATTACGGCCAAATGGACAGAACTACTTTTATTGAAAGCTGCATTAGTTTCCTGTTTCTGGTCCGCAGGTAGCTCTGCCTGATGGGGGATTAGCTGATTTATTTCTGGAGCCTCGATCAAGTTGTTCAGAAACTATAATCTGATTTAAACTGGACCTGTCTTCCTGCAGTATAAACATAATATGCTAACCTAAGTGGGCAGCGCACCTGGGATGACCTGGCACAAATAGGTGAGCTAACGGGTTAAAAAAAAAAAAGGGCAGCAACTACTCATTATTTTCGTTTATTATTACATGTTCTTCATTAACTGATGACTATTTAACCTATAAAATCAAACAAATACATTGCTTTACTTAACCAGCAGACCAAAATCAAACAAAATGAAGATTTAATACGCCTCTTTTCAATCATCACAATATTTGCGATTTAATGTTCAATCGTTAAAGCTCTGCTACAGTAATTTAATTGTCGCTTCATCCAGCCGGAGAAGAGCTGTGTGTGTGCAGCCAGGAGAGAAAGAATATAATAACCACACAAACGTTTCTCTAAAGCGTAGGGACGATAAACTGTTAAAAGTTTTATAAAGTATAGTACATGTGGCTCACCCAGAGTAGTGATGTATGGATGCAGCCAAGGCGTTGCCCGACCCCCCAGGAAGGATCCCCAGAGGGGTCCGGACAGCCTCCTCCCAGTCAGGTCTATCCAGCAGACCGTTTATCACCTGAAGGATACAGGAATCACAGCTTTTATCAGCAGGACAGAAAGAAACATGTGTTACCCAGCCAGGGTTTGCTAGCACTCACAGGGCTGTGCATCAGACCTCAATCAGTGTAATACAAATTCAGACTGTATGTATGTATGTATGTATGTATGTATGTATGTATGTATGTATGTATGTATGTATGTATGTATGTATACCACTGAGCTATACTATATAAATACCATAAAACCCTTTTTTCAGCTCTGATATCAAGAACAAAGCCATACTAGTACTTAAAATAATAAACTAACAAAAGCTAGAGACCTGTTTTGATTGGATCACACAGCTGATAGCCAATCTGAGCCAGGGTGCAAAGCAGGGTAACTTTTTCTGACTGCATCGCGCATGGTAGTGACATTATAGTGGTATCAAAATCTATCAATAGACATTTGACTACTGGCAAAGTAGATTCTGTATGAATTCACTGTCATTATGACTAATGTAGTTCCTGTTACTTACTGTAACAGGAACTACATAGGTCATTATGACAGTAAAAACTTACATGCATTACCTGGAGACTTATCCTAACCTTAACCATAACCAACACATGCCTAACCCTAACCCTTAACCTTACCCTAATCCTAAACCTAACCAAGTCTTCACCCTAAAATTAATGATTCCCCTTATGGGGACCTCCAATTTGTCCCCATAAGGGAGGCGAGTCCCCACACGTGACTGTGTAAACAGATTTAGGTCCCCACAAGTATAGTAATGCTAGGACACACACACACACACACACACACACACACACACACACACACACACACACACACACACACACACACACACACACACACACACACACGCACCAGACTCAAAAGGTGAAACCGAACTGCTGTTTTGACTGGTATATATTTCTGTTATGCTTATCTATTTGGAAGCATTTTATAATGAATATGTCTTTACACACCAGCAGGTTTATAATGCTGACAGAAGGATGCCCTGCTGACTGTGTTTGTCCTATGTGCGTGTGGACATGATTTAGTGAACATGCGTCACTCTTTACCTCATACAGAAGCCCGTCCCCCGACATGATGACCAGAGCGTCCCACTGCGACAGGTCGGCCTCCTTCACCAGCTCTCGGGCGTGGTTCTGCCGCTCTGCACACACACACACACACACACACACACAGACACACACAGACACACACACACACACACACACACACACACACACACACACACACACACACACAGATGAACATGTCGTTCCTGTCTAAGGAATCTAGGAATTAACAGAGAAACTCGTCCTGTCAGTCCTCTGCCTCCACACAGAGGTCAGAGGTCACAGTGACTCTAACGAAGGTGTCAAAGATATTCGGTGTTGAGGCACTCGAGGACATTTCCACGGGTGTTGGCTATCAGCACCTCAAGTTACACATGACACTAATACGTGTGTCTTATCTAAACAAGACATTGGCGTTAAGATCTCAGTTAACAGAGGAGTCGTCTTTTTTTGTCTCCTCTGAATTAAGGCATCACCGTGGGAGGGAAAGCTGATATATGGGCTTAAATGAAGCGTATATAACACTGCCAATTAGATCGTTACAACTAAATTACCCAGGAGCACTCTGTCAAATTACTTCTGGGCTGAGTGATCTGATGGAGTGGGGCCCTGGTGACAGCCTCCTCTCAGGGTGGACAGCGCAAGAGGAAGTTTATTAGAGACAGATAATAAAGATACAGAAAGTAAATGTGTTGCAAATTTAAGTTTTTCTTAACATGACTTTCTCGGCGTCATGGCTTTTACTGCAATGCTTCGTTTAACAGGTTTGTAATTTCCTAGAAGTTTCCTGGAATGAGCTCTGTAATTTAGCACTAATTATAAAGTTTTTAATCAGCATACTTTTAATGACTTATTTCCAATGAATTGCTTGAGAGTCTTGGTCTAATCAGTGGATGGCATGTCAGCTAAACGTGATCAAAGAAAGACATTAAAAGATATAACATTAAATTAAATCATCCAGTTGAACAGATGTGAAGAATAAAGTTTTTAAAAGCTACCGGTACTTGATTTTAACTGTATAATATTTACTAATTTATAAAAAAAAACCTTATTAGGAATCTACAGAACCGTGAAATATAGTGTTAACAAATCTACTGCAGTGAAACCTTTCAAATGATGTCTCACTTTGTTTTTATCTGTGTTTTGGAGTGTGTGTTATAATTTTAATAATGTACAAATTGCACACATCACTAATAATCACACCTGAACTGAAGGACAGAGCAGTGCATTCAAGCAGGCTTTGTCAGACCTCAATGACAACATGACTGTATTATTATTAACATAATTATTAAAGATGCTACTCCTTTCTCACTTTGGAAGTTTAACTGAACCTGTCACTTATTCAAACATCTTACTTTCTTGCATTCCAGACATATTATCATCACGTTTTCTCTAGGGTCTGTTCAGTGTGTGTGGAGGGATGCATGTCTCTCTCTCTCTGCAGGTGAGAGGGCAGGAGGAGAGCTGCGAGGTGTGAAGACGAGTCAGTGAAGCGCAGCGGACCGTCACACAACTCAGTCACAACTCTCACTCTCTCTGACCAGCTGAGGCTCAGAAACACCCCAAGCTCTTTCCTTCTGGCCCTCTGCTCTTTCAAACCATTTGAACCCATTTTTACTTTTAGAAACAGCCATCATTCATATTTTTGACGGAATATTGAGATTTTTCATATTCAGACACAGTATTTGGTAAAGAAAAAGGTGATGGATAATAGTGGTTACTATCAGCACAGTCTCAGTCAAAGCGTATCTTGCTGTAAGGAAAGCAGAAAACTTGTTGAGTGTTTTTTTCATGCATAATGTATGAATTTAAGACAAACATATCTGAGTTGACTAGATATTTTGCTGCAGATATTTTTTGACTAAACTGAGCAAGACCATCAGGTTTTCAGATTTGTTTCAAGTTTGTTAAGTCTGAAGTTCTGATCTGTTGTTACAACATGCAGGCGGTTATCATAATCACTGCAGGATGTCTCATCTAGACCAGGGGTTTTCAAAGTGTATTGCTATTATTATTATTATTATTGTTGTTGTTGCTATAATGCAGGGGTATTCAATTGCATTTCAAAGAGGTCCAGTAAGAGAACATGTCATTAATCCGGTCAAATATATCGGACAGATAGGCCAACATTGCAACCCAGTTCATGTCCTCCATGTGCTTAACCAGTGAGGAGTTGATTTCGGCGAGGAAGAGGAGAACTTCCTCGCGCAAATCACACAAGCGAGTGAGGACCTTGCCCCGGGACAGCCACCGGACCTCGGAGTGCAGCAGCAGCAGCTGGTGGAAGTGAGCGCCCATCTTATTGCAGAGGATGGAGAAGAGACGTGCATTCATGGCGCATAAAGTTAGCTGAAGTTAACTAGCTAGGGTTAGGCTAGCTAACTGTTTCTCGTTTTGTTTTTTTCCCCGCTGCGCCTCCCCTGAAGCTCTCTGGCACCCCCCCGGGGAGACGCGCCTCACACTTTGAAAACCCCTGATCTAGACAATAGGATACAGGAGCTCTGCCTGGAGGAAGCTGTTAACAGCAGTACCAATCAATAGATAGCATTGGCCAAAATAAATGAGAAAGCTACAACAGAAAAATCAAGAATCACTGAAATGCACCTGGAGTATTAATAACAACAGGTTTAGGAAATGTATATTCTATATGAGGATATGGAAGTATTTCATTACTTTGTGTTCTATCAATGATCAAGTTTTTCTAGACCCCTCTAGTGTCTTCTCTTCTGTGCAACCACCTTCTTGTTTCTACCCTTAAAGCTGCCAGTAAACACACACACACACACACACACACACACACACACACACACACACACACACACACACACACACACACACACACACACACACACACACACACACACACACACACACACACACACACACACACACACACACACACACACACACACACACACACACACACACACACACACACACACACACACACACACACACACACACACACACACACACACACACACACACACACACACACACACACACACACACACACACACACACACACACACACACACACACACACACACAGGTCCCTCCATTAAGGAGGCTGGTGTTAAATTACAGGCTGTTTTTAACATTATTCAGACTCAGCTCTCTGAACTAAAGCTTCTTTTAAATGTTGAGAAAACCAAGGTAATGCTCTTTTCTAAAGCTAAAAAGACACCAGAGACTGTTTTAGATATTGTAACTACGCAAGGAATAAAACTTGAAGTGGTTACCTGTTACAAATACCTTGGTATCTGGCTTGATGATTGTCTCACTTTTAAACTTCATGTCAATAACCTGCTTAAAAAGCTGAGGGTTAGGCTAGGTTTCTTCTACAGGAGCAAGTCCTGTTTCTCGCTTGAGGCCAGGAAAAGGCTAGTCACTGTGTCCTTTTTACCTGTGCTGGACTATGGTGATTTGATGTATATGAATGCACCTGCCCATTGCCTGGTCAAGTTAGATGCTGCGTATCACAGTGCACTGAGATTTGTGACAAACTGTAAAGCATTAACCCATCACTGTACCCTGTATGCAAGGGCTGGTTTGCTTTCACTAACTGTACGGAGGCTCAGTCACTGGTACATTTTTATTTACAAAGCCATGTTAGGGAAACTTCCATCTTATATCTGCTCCCTGATCTCACAGAAAATTGTAAGTGGCTACTGCCTGAGATCGAATGCTGTAGTTTTATTAAATGTGCCAGCTGCTAGGACTGTCTTAGGGAAGACAGCTTTTAGATGCGCAGCTCCTCTGTCTTGGAATAGTCTGCAAATTAAATGGAAACTGAACAATCTGGTACCACTAAATGTTTTTAAAGCTTGGTTGGATGCTAGTCAATCGGAAGCTATTGGTACCTGTTTATGTGGATAATTATGTAAATGATGCTGTATGATGTCCTTTTGTTGTTCTAAATATGTTTTTATGTTTCATGTGGAACTACTTGAGCAGGTCTCCCTTGGAAAAGAGATCAATGATCTCAATGGGATTTATCTGTATAAATAAAGGTTTGAAATGAAACACACACACACACACACACACACACACACACACACACACACACACACACACACACACACACACACACACACACACACACACACACACACACACACACACACACACACACACACACACACACACACACACACACACACACACACACACACACACACACACACACACACACACACACACACACACACACACACACACACACACACACACACACACTCCTCTGGAGAGGATCTGATTCCTCGGCCTCTCTTCTTCTCCCCTTCCCTTCTCTATACTCAGAATAACGGGATCAATTCCTCTTTATCAGTCCAGTCACATCACATTTCAGTATCCATGCAGAGGCTGTACACTGAAAATGATTGAAGGACCCCAACCAGCAGCACAGCTGTAGAACCGAGGCACTGCAGTGGGTGGGAGGAGAGCTGAGAGCCACCCCCCCTCCCTCTCGTCAGACAGATTGATAATGGCAAAATGTCGCAGTGAGAGGAACGGAATATCAGGGTCGGAGATAAGTCACACTGTGCTCGTAATTATTTGTATAGTTATGTTGCAGAGGTAAAGAGAGGAGAGCGGCAGAGTTTCTCTGTGGGTCGAGTTGTAACTAACTCCTTACAGCCATGCATGTTTCTAACTGTCCTCAAGATTAGTAAGCTCCTGGAGGATGAGAAAAACTGCACATCGGAGTAAGGATTACAGTTCTTCTTCCAACGCATATCAATATGCAAGCATTGGGATTCAGCGTTGATGAAAAGGAGATTACATGCTGGTTAATTTGATAAATGATTGCAACAGTTAAATGTTTTTTGTTTGGGAGAGAGAGAGGGGTGTGGCATGTGGCAAAGGTCACCAATGATTTGAACCCAGGATGTAACATTTACATGGCATATGCTGTATCACTCGGCAACAAGGAGCTCCAAATGTGTGACATTCAAAGCAAACTATTATTCAACCATTACAGACATCATTAACAGTTCGCCATACAATGTGCACAGCATAGTTTGTTGGGTAGCCTTTTATGTAGTTAAACGTTTAAAATGAAAAAGAATGACACTTGACTAGCTAGAGCTTCAGC